GATTTATTACATATACAAGATACTGTCTTGGAAGAAATGAAACTCCACTCCCATTTTCAAGTTGGAAACCAAATTCTGCGCTCTCTGTGGTGATAATTCCATCAAAGTCAGCAATGTTATACCAAATTTACCCAGAGTAGGTTTTGCCAGTGTTGGTAGTCAGGAGTGTACTCTATGGATCTAAACTGGAAGGGCCCATTCTGCACTAATTGTCAGGTAATTTTAGAATAAAATAAATAGAACTGGGGCGGTGGGGGGAGCGTGGCCGCTCAGAGGCACTAGAATACCACACAGAGCCTGTAAGCTCATCTGGACTAGGCTGGGAGCAGCTGAAAACTCTTACACTCCAGAGAGTAGTCAGGGGCCATATGAAATGAGGCTTTACTAACCTGCCAATGGACAAGTGACCAGAGCATGAGACTCACTGCTCCAGCTGGCAGTAAGTGACAACCTTTCAGGTAATGTCATGAAAGTGGATGAGAATTGACTGGGGCAAGGAGACTGGATTTCTCTTTCATTGTTGAAGTGTTCCTCTCTCCAGGATGGAAATCCTTTGATAGGACATAATTACCTACATGGCCTGTTTTGGAGCTAAGCAGGTCTTCAGTCTCCAGGGCCACTGAAAACAAACATGCTGCCATTGCTGTATTACCTAAGATTTGGTAAGAAATAGTTAAATATATCAACATTAAAACAGATCTTTAAACAATAAGCTTCTACAATTTGCTTGGGAGAAAGAGTAGCAATATCAATCTGCATGTACTTGAAGCTTCTCTGATACTCACTCTGACCTCCAAGCCTCACCACCCTTGAAGCAGTGTGAGTGAGGTGCAGTTTCCATGACTTCAATGCAGTTCTGACCAGTGTGAGATCAGAATCTGATCCTTTATGATTAAGGGCCTGACCTATATGCATGCCCAGGAGTCTTCTGAGGTGGACAGTCCTGATGCCCCCAGTGAGACTGCAGGTGGCTGAGAGCGTGCACATGGGTAAGTGCATGCAGATCAGGCTGTAATGTCAAGGTTTTTCTTTATGCAGTGAATGACCACAGCCCAAACCCAGATAAGTACAATACACACATTCATTCACAAGTAATTGTTGTAACAACCAATGGGGAAAAGATAAGATGGTTGAACAAATTATTGGTTTAGTATTATTATCTGGCCAACTTTAAGTTGATCAAGGAACGAAACAAATTATTTATGAATATTTAACTAAATCAATTTGTCAGATAAATTATTCTCAACAAATATTTATCAGTTTCATTTGGTCCTAGGGAGATTACAAATACAAAGTTTCTCCATCCTGGATTAACTTTCTATCTGGTAAACTATCAGCTTCTGTCTCTCTCTCACACACACTTTTTTGTTACAGCTCATACGTTTCCCCATCCCTCTTTCTTCAATGCAAGAGCTAATGCTGCTTCTGTTCCCTCCAGCGGAAAGATAATCTGACACATTTCTACTGGTGGGATGGGAAGAAAAGTTAATAACTTGTTTTTTTGTTACTAGGGATAAACTTCGACAGCTGGCTTTGAATGACTAGCATCAGGCTACCTCCCCTGGCACCAGCAGATGGGATGGCAAGGTTTTGGTTGGTTCCCTGGCACTTTCAGAGGGAAAGGAGGGTGTCGTACTGCATTGCTTGTGCCAGTGGGGCAGGCAGGGTCATCCTGCAGACCCACAATGCCCACACTTTTTGGATAGCTGCACTAGTTCATCAGATTTCTTGACTGTGGCAATCACTTCCTGCTTAGTTGTCTGGGACCTCCTCTGATGTGTTGCTTGGGCAGTTTCAAACACTTCTCTCACGATGATGAGTCTGAACTCTCAAAAAGTCCAAGATGTGTTAAAATCAATGGAACTGTAAGTGCAATAGGGCAGGACAGAGTGGCCTAAAGCTGATTTTGAAGGCCTTCCTGAACTGGGGAGCTTGGTGTTCCTGCCCACTAAGCTAAGCCTTAAAGAAAGTCTTTCAAGATAAATTACATAATACCTTCATTCCTGTAGGGTTTCCCTCAAGTATCTTGTATTGCTGCTGAGCCATTGATGGGTGACTGTACAGTCTCTCTCTGTTACATGGCAGGGACTGAATAGATTTCTGAACAGACATCTGTTAAGAGCCCACATGGTACATGTACAACCAGTGTCTGCCTTGTTCTAAATGGTAGGTCTGGGACTCCAGTGAATGTTATTGTTCCCATCAATGAGTTTTTACTTCAGCATCTTTCCCTCAGAATTTGCCCAGATCTGGCTTCCTAATCTGAATCTATATCAGTGCCTTGGACAAAAATGCCCTACACCCAGTTTCAATCAGAAGCTTTGCCAAGCCCAGTTCCAACCTGTGCTCACCAATACACAAGAGGTGTTGAACATTAACACCCTGTGCTATGCACTGAGAGCATAAGGACTTCAATACTTCACATTTTGGATACACTGATGTTAGCATCTATCTGACATGAGGTTTGTGGCATAATGCCATCTCTGTCTCTCCCCAAACCCTGCTATCAGACGGGTGACTAATCTGAGAATTTGGTTACCATGGTCACTGCAGAGGGAAGACACACCCCTGGCCCCATCGGCTTCAGGTAACCCTGAGTTATAACCTGAGCTGGATACATTCCTGGGGGGAGGGGGAAACCTGATCCCTCTGCCTATGTGACTGGCCTCACACACCTGTGTGGGGGCTTAAACTCCCTATTGTTCTAAGCAATGTCATCATGACTGGGAGGGGGCTAGAGACTCTGCCAATCTACCTGGCAACCAGTGATGTATTTCAAATTGGTTGGCTGGCAGCCAACAACTGCTGGCCTTCATTGGATCAGGTAAATGAGGTCATAAGGTCTATCATAAGTTCTATATAAGTGAAAGACTGCCCAGGAGGAGGAGCAGCAGCCATAATGAGCAGGGGTGTGTGAAATGGGCCATATTTGATTCAGATTCAGCCCAAATCAGGGACAGTGATATGATCTGTTGATTCGGATCACTGTCCCCTATTGGATTCGGCTGAATCCAAATCTGAAGATTAGATGCTGATACAGCCACAGACACAGCTTTAAATATTGTTTCTACATACCTCGAGGTATCAGGCGTGGCTCGTGAATGCTGTGATGCTGGGGCAGATGGAGAGTCCCACAGGACCGTGAGGGGGCCCCCCGCATGCTTGGTGGTGAACCTGGAAGTGGATTGGAACTATTTCTGATCCACTTCTGGGTCTGCCAGGGAGTACACTGGGGGGGCCCCCCATGCCCCCCTGGCTCAGTGATCGGCTGTGGGGGGACTCCAGGTGCCGCACCAGACCCAAGAGGCACCAGTCACCAAGCTGAGGGAGAGCGTGGGGGGTGGGGAGGTCCCGCGCAGCACTCCCCAGTAGACCCAGAAGTGGACTTGAAGTGCTTCTGGTCCACTTCCGGGTCTGCTGCCAAGCGCGCTGGGGATCCCCCTGTGCTCCTGTAGGACACTGTATCTGCCCCATCATTGCAGCATTCACAAGCCAGCTGGTACCTCGAGGTATGTAGAAAAAACATTTAAAGCTGTGTCTATGTCTGAATCTCCTAATCTTTACAAATCTTTGTAAAGAAGAGTCTTCTGCTTGGATTTGGATTTGGAGATTCAGCCACCGAATCGGGCCAAATCTCTGCTGAATTGAATCGGGGACCAAAACTTCACACAGACTTACTACTGAGGACTCTCAGAGAAGCTGGACAATCTGAAACTTGCTCTCTCTCTTGAAACTCATAGTCAATGAACTGCTTACCTCCAGAGGAAATCTCCACCTGCCTCTGGATGATACTTGTGAATAAGCTACTTGAGATCTAACTAGATATATAGTTTGCAGTAACACAGATGCATAATCAAAGGCTGCCATGCCACTGTTTGCTCTAAGGGATTTCTCATATATTGCTCTACCCTGTACCTTATTCCAAACCTACTCCTTGTCACCAATAAAGTTCTCCTCTGTATCTAGCATGGGAGACTTATTGGGAGAGGGTCTAGATTATGCCTTGGGGTCCACCCCATGGTCCAGCTGACTAAAGGAGACCACTATTTGTGCTTCAGACTGAGAGAAGTAGCCCAGCTTCTTTCTGTGAGTCAAGTACCCCCAAGGACTACTAGGCCTGTGTTTCCCAGTGGGCACAGAGCTAAGATCAGTCCAGACCCTGGGTGGTGGCGGTGTTCAAGGTGTGCTCCAGGAAGGGGGTCAGCTGGACATGAGGCGCCTCCAGGAAGGCACTCAGAGCCTGGAACGTGGTCAGGTGCAGTGAAGTGGGTGGCTCAACGCAGGAGCACCACCTATTGGCCCGCCACATGCCCTACACCCAGTTTCAATCAGAAGCTTTGCCAAGCCCAGTGCTGAGTCTGTGCTCACCAATGCACAAGAGGTGTTGAATATTAACACCCTGTGCTGTACACTGAGAGCATAAGGACTTCAAGATTTCCACATTTTGGATATACTGCTTTTAGCATCTATCTGACCTGAAGTCCTATAGATGAAATCCCTGAGAGCTCTGCTAGAAAAAATATACGTAGGGTGATCCCAATAGGTAGAGGCAATGCAGGTGTTTCCCTTCCCAATACAAAATACCCACAGCTTGTTGTCAGGGTCTCACAGGGAATTCTGCAGGTATTAAATGCTCTAATATTTAATTTCCTTCCTTCACAAATGCTTCAAAACCTTCTACCATGGCCTTAACTTGCCTGTCCAGTCTGAGCCATCATACTGATTTCTGTGTCCTTGTCTGATCCAGGTGCAGTTCCCTTCAGGCCTCCCTGTAATTTAGTTTTCCTCTAAAGATTTGTCCTTCTCCCATTAATGCAAAAAATCCTTCATCAGATGGTTTTTGCTGCTGCTGCTGTTTCTTGGTTACTGTGGGGAATGGGTTCTCTCTGCAGCCAGGCCCGGGGCTTCCTGTCTCGAATCTCCCCACGCACACTCTTTTCCAACTACTGCTGTGCCACAGCTGCACTAACTCCTCCTCCCATCTCTTTTTATCTTGTCAGGCTATCCTCTTGGACTGGCCACATCTGATTGCTCAAAAAGGTTTCTGCTTCTATAAAGTTTCTATGGTCTTAGCTTCTCACATAACAAACCTTGTTGTGCATTAGCAGCTGCATGACTAATAAATCAAAGGAGGTGATGCTCCCGCTCTATGCAGCACTGGTCAGGCTGCAGGTGGAGTACTGTGTCCAGTTTTGGGTGCCACACTTCAAGAGGGACGTGGGGAATCTCAAGAGGGTCCAGAGGAGGGCCACTTGCATGATTAGTGGCATTCGTGATAGCCCCTATGGGGGGAGGTTGAGAAAGCTGAATCTCTTCAGCCTTCACAAGAGATGGCTGAGGGGAGACCTTGTGGCCGCCTATAGATTTATAAGGGGAGGTCAATGGGGAATAGGGGAAGCGCTGTTTACTAAGGCACCCCAGGGAGTGACTAGGAATAACGGGTGTAAACTAGTTGAGAGTGGATTTAGGTTAGATATTAGGAAGAAATTTTTCACAGTAAGGGTGGCCAGGATCTGGAATGGGCTTCCAAGAGAGGTGGTACTATCACCTAGCTTGGAGGTCTTCAAGAGGAGGCTAGATAGTCACCTGACTGGGGTCATCTGACCTCGGTCCTCTTTCCTGCCAGGGGCAGGGACTCAGACACGATGATCCATTGTGGTCCCTTCCAACTCTACGATCTATGAATCTATGAACCTTTCTGGAGAAGGACATGCCCTTGTAACAATATGTGGGATATATACACACTTGGCCGTAAGCCCATTGACTTCAATAACAACAGGGATGAATTTGGCCCCCGGACCTGTGAATGGTAACAATGGGCCAAATGATATCTACAAAGACCCTAGTTTGAGGTAATGCATTCCACATTACATCCACACATAGAAGCCATTTATAGTCAGTGCTGCTGGTGCCTCAGGCATGTTTTGGGCTAACAGGGTTATCTGTGACAAAGCCCCAGCCACACTGGAGTTCCAAACTTTTTGGTACTGGTTACCCAGTTACGCAGAAGCATGCCTAGCAGCCACATCTGCATGTAGCCGCAGTGGTGAGGGAGGGAGGGAAGGGTTTGCATGTGCATTTCTGCTGCTATGTTCTCTTTCTCCTTCGTATGTGCAGTGCTAACGTGCTCTACTTCCCTTTCAGTTTTGCTTCACTGGGGTTCAGTAGGGCACAGTTCTGGAGCCATGGAAGACACCACAACAGTAACAGAAAGTTTGGAAGAGGAGCTTAGCTGTCCCCTCTGCCTTGACATCTACAAGGACCCTGTGTCTCTGAGCTGTGGCCATACCTTCTGCCAGGAGTGTGTCCTAAAGGTAATCAGTACTCACCAGCAGAAGCCCTGTGAAACCTACTCCTGCCCCATATGCCAAGTTGACCTCCTCCCAGTTCCAAAGCTGCAGAAGAACTTCCAGCTATGCCGGATCGTGGAGAAGTTCCTGGCTGCCTTTCCCAAGGAGGGCTGCTGGCCGGCAAAGACATCAGCATCCAAGCAGGAGCAAGTTCTCCCTTGTGATTTCTGCCTTGGACAGCCTCAGCCAGCAGTGAGGAGCTGCCTGACCTGTGATGCATCTTTCTGCCAGGCCCATCTGAGGAAACATAGAATCAAGACAGCCCAAAAAGGCCACGTTCTGGTGGAACCCAGAGGCTCTCCAGAGGAAAGAAAGTGTCCCAAGCATGGCAAGGTGTTCAGTGCCTTCTGCCAGAATGACCTAACCTGCATCTGTGTGACATGCCACATCACCAGTTACCACAAGGGCCACCACATTATCAGCCTGCAGGAGGCCTGTAACCAAGGTTTGGTAAGTGGCAATCACTACACAACAGCCTGGGAGACACAGGCCAAGCTGGGATCTTTCAGAGTTATTCACAGTCAATTTGTAGCGTAGAGTGCTCCAGTAAAAGGCAGTTCTTACACACTGCATAAACAATGTGGCCTATGTCAGAAATCAATGTCTGAATTGCACTTGTTGGCAGGAAGAGGGCAACCAAAATTTAGATGTGCTGTAATGCAAAAGCTTCCAATCAATAATCAAGAGTACTCAAACTAGAACTTCACTTCTTCCAGCCCATGGGCCCTGCTCCCATTCAGCTGCATGCCCTTAATTAAACTTGGGCTCCTTCCATTTGCTGGACAGTGGCTGGGATACATACCATAGAATTCAAGATGCATCTGTGTCCACCCCAGAGGGTGCGTTGGTTCCCAGCTCCAGTGCCTCTGGCTTTTTTGTATTTGTCTGAATTCTACCAAAGTCTGTACACTCCAAACAAGGAAGGAGATTGGAGTAGCCCTTGGAGAGGGCATGTGGTTTAATTTGTGCACTCTTACCCAGCTTTGCACTTAAACAATCACTGGTCAAACCAAAGCAATAGCAAGGGACCTGCTCTTCCTTCAGTAAGACAGGAACTGGAAAACCCCCTAAGCCTAATTAAAAGTGATTAAGTACAGAAGCAACATCTTTCTTCATCATCCTAGGCTGATATTTAATGCCTTTTTCCCCCTTTACTTAGGCACGTGTCTCTCGAATAGAGAATATGATGCAAATGTATATAAATACTGTGGATAAAGCCTTAGAGAGTCTGCAGAGGAGTGAGGAACAAGCCCAGGTCTGTCTGTTGCCACAAGACAAGTCAAAGAATTTGTAAAGCTTCATAGTGAAACTGAAGGAAAGGCTGGCAGAAGAGGCCCCAATTCTTCCTTGAACTCCTCAAATTGGCCCAGTCCTTCCAGCTGGGGGCCCTTCATTTGTTTGAACGTGAAACAAGGACAGCTGAGAGGGAGGGGATGGAGACTCAGAGACTAGGGACAGACATTACACATAAACTGATTTAAATGATCAGAAACTGGTTTAAACCTGTAATAGAACATAAGTTCGGTGCACATAAACCAGTTTCAGCCTTTTTCAAACTGGTTTGAGATAAACCTGGTTGAATGTAGTATCAGACTTAACTGATTTGGTTCAAATTGGTTTATGCAATGTCTGTCCCAGATGCCATCCTGGTTTAAGTTAAACCAGAGTCCCTTAGCATCCTGGCATGCTTTCTGGGCTGGGAGGGGCTCTCTGCTAAGCAGGAATTTCCCCCTCCCCTCTGCCTTCCACAGACACCTCTCAGCATTAGCTAGCAGACCACATGCTGGTTACGGTCCATCCTTCCTTGCAAACAGTTGTTTAAGAAGAGCTTGAACTAATGAGAGAGGCTTTTTGTTTTCTGATGTGGTGATAAATGCTGATAACAGAACTGATAAATATTCTGTTATCAAGGCAGGGGTGGATCCCTCCCCAATCAGAGCATCCTGCCGGGGCTTGGCCACGCCCCCCCCCCAATCAGCACTATGGAAGGGAAGGGAGGGCTACTGTAGCACCCCCTGGCTTCTAGCCTGAGCCACTGCAGGCATATGCCTGCATTTCTGGGATGTCTGTAAGGTTACAAACCGGTTTAGCTAAGCCAGGTTAGACTAACTTGCAAAGATTGAATCAATTCAGGATCAGGGTTTTTGCATGTCTGCCCCTAACCAGATAGAGAAAGGGGCCTGGGAAGGTTGAGCACTCAGGCATACTGGGGCAGTTCTGTGCCCTGGGCAGTAGAAGGGCATGGGACAGTGACAGTGGCTGGTCTTGCACTGGAAGAAGCTGCTATTTTTGCCCACCTTGCAATGCCCCCAATGTCAGTGCCCCACACCCTGGTCATCCCCCCTGGTGACACTACTGGTTAAGCCCTATGGAAGGTGCAAAGAGGGGAGTTCTTTCATGAACATCGACAGGACTCAGCAGAGGGTATGGAGTCAGGCAGTGGAGGGAAGGGTCAGGGCCACTAGGAGCACCTTGGAGGGAAGGTTTTTAAGCCAGAGCAGTTTTGAAGCAGGACACTGAGGTGTGTATGAAGCCAGTGCAACTAAGAGAGCAAAGTAGTTTGGCTAGATGCAATCCAGGCCTTCCACTGATGCTGCTAAAACTGGCCATAGGAATCAGCGCAGAGCAACATACGGCACTTTTGGTCCTATGAAGAGTCTGGGTTTTATATGATGCCATTATTCCCATCCAATGACTTGTAATGACCTACCGCTTCTCCCACAGAACTCTGGGAGCAGGCAGGACCTGGTGCCTGGATTCTAGTGTAGCACATTGTCCTGTCATCTCCACATCTTGCCATTTCCTGTTGCTTAAACAAGGACAGGCAAACACCCTCAGTTATGGCTTTACCCTCTGTCAGGGAGTGCCCTCCCAGGGGTGGTGGTTTGGGCCACTACAATCCTGTCTGATCTCTGAGAGTGTCCCCAAAGCCCAGATAGTTTCTAGAGCAGCGGGGGAGAGGGGAAGCGGGAGAACGGACCAGGCTCCTTTCCACCCCAGGACTCTTCCCTTTTGCTCTTTCACCTTCTCTGCTTCTCTGTGGTCCTGACTTATTATCCAAGCAAAATGAGTAAAAAGATTTACTTTTTGAGAATGTGATGCTGTCTCAAAAGACAAGCTCTCTGCCAGCATGTAGACCACAGCCTGTGAACATGTCTGAAGGAATATTACATTATAGTTGTCCAGGAAGTTCTTTGGTTCATTTTGACAAAAATATCAAGGCTTATGTAGCAACAGTTTTGTTTTCTTAACTGAAAACTTATCTATGAACCAAATTTCTTTAGTTTCTGGAGGTTTTATTAGTTTTTATCAAATACAAAACAAAATATTCAGTTTTCAGCCAAATAATTTAGATATCGATTTTTCAATACTTACACGGAAATGGGCATTTCTTTATGAAATAGCCATATTGATGAAAAAACCCCAAACCCCCACATCTCTCCACCAGCTCTAGTTGCTTATAGATGTTGTGATAGTATCAGTCACCGTCCTGAATCCCTGATCTCACACTTCATTTTCTGTTATTTCTTGCTTCTGTTGCTATTTTGGGGGACTGTTTTAAGGCCCAGGAAAATATCCTGAAGGACCAGCTGTCAAATCTTTTCAAAGAGATTCATTCTCAGGTGGATCATACCAAGGTGCAGCTCTTAGATGCTATCAAGTATAATAAGGAAGAGTGGCTCTCTAGGATCCTCAGAGTAAGGCATGTAATGGAGCAGAAGAAAGATGAAGCTTACCAGACCTTCTGTGAACTACAAACAGTTAGGGCTCAAGTGGATGATTTTATATTTCTTAAAGTAAGTGGCAGCATTTATGATACCTTTATTGATTAACAATATTCGCTTCGTTGTTCTGTCCTTTGTCTATAATCATGGTAACATTTTTTTATATATTTTATAGGCCTTTAAAGTGACTCAAGACAGGTGAGTTCTTTATCAAAATATTCTTTTGTGTATGTGTATTTTGTGCTCTGCCATGTTAATTCATCAGTTCTGCAGTAGGGAAGGTTAGTTTTTATCCATCTTAGAGTTGAAAGATTTTCTCTTGACTGCTGTCTTGCACAATTACAGGTAGGATTCAACTGTTATTCAAGCATTGCTCTAGGCAAGTTGTGAATACTGGGGGATGTCTTGCTCTTCACTTTCCAATCTTTACTATGATCATATAATAATTTATATTATGGTAGAGGCTTATTAGAAAGACTCAACAGCCGAGTCCAGATGAGCGTGGCTGTGCAGTATGTACCACATACTGCCCATTCCGTTGTTGCAGTACCACATACTGCCCATTCCGTTGTTCTGCACACTGCCAGGGAGCAGCATGGAGGGGTTTTTTATCCAGGAGTCAAAAAAAAAAAACCAGTGGAGAAAAAAAGTGGTGTGGCACTCACGGTGGCAGTGTGCGCTGCCCTAAGCTGGAGCCTAGCTGGCAAGTGCTGCACTTTGCTGCCGGCCAGGCTCCATGCAGTGGGATCGCTGCTGCTGCAGCCCCAGGTGGCCCCCAAGACCCCAGGTAAGGCTGCTGGGGCCAGGCCAGTGCTGGCCCCAGTCTCCCCTACCCTACCTGGGGTAACCTGCTGTGCGCCAGCGTATGTGTGGCACAGGTGTTCTCCAGAGACAACTAGTGGTGGTGCAACGTGAACTGCTGCTAGTTGTCCCTGGGGAATCAAACATCCACACATATCTGGACATGGCCTACATGTTTAACAGACAGACATTTTTTGCCCCAGTGTTCATGAAATCTAAGTGTGCAACAAGAGATAATAGGTGATAATAACAGATAGAGGAAGGGAGCACAAGGTAGCTATCTATAATTATGTTCATTGGCTCTCAGTGTCTGAAGCAAGTGATGAACTTTAGAGCCTTAGTGGAATCACCTAAAGAGCATACAGGATGGGGTTATATTGGTTGCACATTTTGTCATTGCATGCATGCAGGTAAAACTACTGAAATCAGTTCCCACCAAGAATCTGCATCTTAGTCAGTGTATAAGATATTTGGCTTGTACATGAGAAAGAATCAGACTCAGTATCTGATGAGAAAATACAACATGTGCATTGCATTTATCTCCTGAATTTGGCATGCCTTTCCATCACTGCCTGGGGCAGCTAGGGCCAGGAATACCATAGGAACAGCCTGCTCAGCCCTCAAGGGGGCAAAAGTCTTGCATCACTGTACACCTTAATGAAAATGCACTGGCAAGGACTTCCAAAACTGCATGCTAGAGGGAGCTGCTAGGTATTCAGCATTTTTGAAAATCCAGCCACTTATCTGGGCTCTCAAATATGGATTCTGATACAAAATATGGATTCAAATACAAAAAAGCCAGAGGCACTGGAGCTGGGAACCAATACACCCTCTGTGATGGACACAGATGCATCACCACTATAGCCTTGAATTCTGGGGCCTAACTTTTAGACCTTTACATTGTAAAATCTTCTTAAAGGAAGACTTTGATCCCCCCCTTCCACACTTTGACTTTTGAGGTGCTGCACAGACGTACATAACAAAGTCTAGTGGCAGTCTTCAAAAAGCAGCTAAGAGCTACAAATAGAATAAGAGAGGTCATTGAACTCTACATGCAGACCTGGTACTAGATGTCTGTTTTGGGTTTGGAAGAAGCCATCCCCAATTTGCAATATGCACATGTTACATGCATTGGCTATTAAGTGAATTCCTGAATATTATAGGTTTAAGCAGCAAGATTTCAGTATAGACTACATGAAAGTGCTGTCACCAGCACCCAGCATGCAACTGAATCGATGGACAGTGGTGAACATTCAAAGACAGACGCAGATCTTTGTCTCAAAGATAACTGCATGTCTACAACCAGGCCACAGTAAGTAAACTCAGAATAGTGTGCAGAGCCACAGAGGAAACAAAACTATAATTATCTAGAGGGTCCTTTTGGGGATGGGGATAGGGGTGGTAAATGTCAGTTGGAGGGATCCCCTGAGGAACTGTTCATTGTTTTGCCCTAGGGTCAGAGGAAGAGGAAGATTTCCCTGTGGTTTCAAGGAAGAGAAAACACCTAGAAAAGCTGAACCAAGAGACACTGTATGACTGGGCCTCAAAGTCAGAGGCTAAAAGAAGATGGCAGTCAGATATAGATCCTGGAATGTCTACTCTGGCTTCTCCTTTACGTACGTACTACACAAATCACTCAGATCATGGTGAGACTCTGATTTCAGCCACTGTTCCACATACACTAATCAAAGACCTGCATTCATCAAAATATGTCCATGTTTCATTGAAGGGGCCGAGATTTTTTTTAAGTGTTCTGTGTGATTCTTGAAGGAAGGAAGTCTGAAGTTTAAAGTGCACCCAGGCATAGTAGGGAAAATATCTTGTTGCAAAAAGTAATAATGATGATACCAAAATTTGGGGTGAGGTGGGCACACTAGTAGGGAGGGAAAGACTGCAGCAAGACCTGGATCGGTTGCAGGGTTGGGCTAACAAAAACAGGATGCATTTCAATACTGACAAGAGCAGGGTGCTGCACTTGGGCAGTAGTAACCAGCAGCACACTTATAAGATGGGAAACTCCCTTCTTGAGAGCATGGAGGCTGAAAGGGATCTTGGAGTCATTATTGACTCCAAGATGAACATGGGCTGACAATGTGAGGTCACGGTCGGCAGGGCTAACCGGACCCTATCGTGCATCCACAGGTGCATCTCAAGTAGGTCCAAGGAGGTGATCCTCCCCCTCTATGCGGCACTGGTCAGGCCACAGCTGGAGTACTGTGTCCAGTTCTGGGCACCCCACTTCAAGAGGGATGTGGACAACATTGAGAGGGTCCAGAGGAGGGCCACTCACATGATCCTGGGACATCAGGGCGGACCCTACAACGAGAGGCTACGGGACCTGAACCTGTTCAGTCTTCACAAGAGAAGGCTGAGGGGGGACCTGGTGACAGTCTATAAACTCACTAGTGGGGACCAGAAGGGTTTGGGGGAGACCTTGTTTCCCCATAGAGCCCCTCGGGATAACAAGGAATAACGGCCACAAGTTGTTTGAGAGTAGGTTTAGATTAGACATCCGTAAGAACTACTTCACAGTCAGGGCGGCTAGGATCTGGAACCAACTTCCCAGGGAAGTGGTATGGCTCCTGCCCTGGGGGTCTTTAAGAAGAGGCTTGATGCCTACCTGACTGGGGTCATTTGAGCCCAGTTTTCCTCCTGCCCAGGCAGGGGGTCAGACTTGAAGATCTACAAAGTCCCTTCTGACCCTACTTCTATGATTCTATGATCCTATGAATGAGAACTGGTAATAGAGTCCAGGGGTATCTAGGTTCTAGGAGGCCTCTATGAACTTCACATTTTTAAGCTTCAGGTGTTACCAAACTTTGCCATGTTTTCTTTAAACTTTTCCCCTCAGTTCAATCACCTTAGACCATTGCTTTGTAAGGAAAGCTTAATAAAAATGAAACTTGTAGGTTTCTGTGGAAGACAATTCTATCCAAGCACAGGCACCAGCCCTGCAAGGATTTCCACAGGCCTGGTTCTGAATTGGCACCGAGCTCCTACGGTCACTCAGTGATTGCCTGGTTGCTGTTCTCTTCCATGTTGCAGCATGAGCAGGAGAATAAAATCAGTGCCTCTGCCTAGATCGATATGATATTGTCAAAGTCAAAGGGCATACAAACCACAGAAATCTCCAGTTATTTAAATGATATCAGAATAATGTAGCTTCCCCGCTCCTGTGTCTGCCTTCACTAGAGACTGTGCTCTTTACCCTCTTTGGCTTACTGCATGAGGGGAAAATCATCCACTACTCTGGGAACTTTGCTTAGGAGGCATGGAAGTCCTAATGAAGTCAATTGACCAATATGTCAATATGAACATTAAAGGGTAGAAAGAAACTGTTTGGTGCTCCCCGTGGAGTGCAGGCACTTCCAGCAGACCATGTATACACTGAGCCATACAACTGGGTGCTGCCCACCCAGGCATATGGTGGAGGCATGTAGCAAGGAATTTGGCACACAACCATTCATGAAACTAGGGATATACAGAAATCAGGCAAGGTTTTTTGGTAGGGAAGCATGTGGCATGACAATTGGCAGTGCATAAATGGAATAAAAAGCCACCTTTTCTTCTATTCCCCAGGCTCCCCAGAACAAGCTAAGTACATAGTGAGATGGAGAGAACGAAAACGGAGGAACTGACCCCGCAGACATGATGGGAGGTGGATACAGGACAACGCGAGGCAATGCTAAGTTCTGGGGAACATGAAGAAGAAACTTAGTAAAGGAAAGATAAGAAATGCACCTAATAAATGCCAGCATTGCCATGACAGAGTCAGGGTCTCTGTTGTTCAGTGGTATATTCAGTTGAGTTGCTCAAAGGTAGGGCAAGAGGCTGGTGTGGGTCTTCCCTACATGCAGCAAGATATCTACAATTGCCATATGCTGCTACATGCCAAACTCTGAAAACAGGCATCTAGAGGTGGCATTTTAGGGCAAGTTGTCCATATGATATCTTGGTATCTGTGAAACCATACAATCCACAAGAAAATGGGCATGCGTTATCTTTCAGTAACTCACAGGTAATGTTGCTGTGAATTTCATGGCTGTGATGTTACAGTATCCAAAGGAATATGGGCCCAAATATATCAGCAAACATATCTGTTTGGTAATTTTCTGTTTGTATAATAAAACAAACACCACTATTTTCTATAATATATAACCCTTCACAATAAATTGCATTAAGTTACTGATCATATAGTGTTTTATTAAGCCTTAAATACTGATAAGTTAGCATAAGTTAGGATAAGAGAAGTAGTATAAATAAAAAAAATGGAACCAAGTCCTTCAGCGAGAGAAACTTCTTGGAAGGTGTGGCGGGGACACCACCATGAGAACAGACTGACCGTTGGCACAGGAGCAGTAGGAGAAGCAGCAGCAACAGCCATAGTAGATCAAAGGATCTGTCCGATGGTTTGTAACCGGACAGACATCCCAGAAATGCAGGCACATACTTGCAGTGGCTCAGGCTAGAAGCCGGGGTGTGCTAGATCCGTCCTCCCCTCCCAGAGTGCTGAGCTGGTGGGGTGGGGGCAAGGTGCTCTGATACGGGAGGTGCTCCACTCCCACAGCAGCCCAGCAGGCAGTTGATAACACAGTGCTTATCACCTCTAACTCACTGTTTATCACACTATCAGAAAACAAAGCCTCTCTCCGTTAGTCCAAGCTCTCTTAGACAGCTTTTCCAAGGAAGGAACTGGTCTCCCACAGCACAGACTGTATCCAGTATGTGGTATACCAGCTAATGCTGAGAGGTGTTTGTGTAAAGCAGAGGGGTGGGGAGCAGGGTGAAGCCAGGCAGATGCCGGTAGTCTCTGCCAGAGCTCCAGCCAGGGAGCAGAGGGGAGGGTCCAGCCCTTCTGTGGAGCAGAAAGCCCTGCCCTGCCCAGCCCAGCCCAAAGAGCATGCTGGAGGAGTCTGGTTTAACTTAAAGGGTCTGGGACATACATTGCATAAACCGGTTTGACCCAAATCAGTTATGTCTGATACTACATTCAACAAGGTTTATCTCAAACCGGTTTCAGCCATTTTCACACTGGTTTCTATGCACTGAACATCTGTTCTGTTACAGGTTTAAGCCAGTTTCTGATCACTTAAACTGGTTTATGTGTAATGTCTGTCCCTAGCCCAGGTGTTTGCACTGGGAGACCCCTAGTTTTCATGACCTGAGCTATCAACTGTAATTTATGTTCTCAGCATGGTATGATGCTATTGCTTCCAGTGTTTTAAGTACAGCCTCTGTGAATGGGAAATTCTGACGTGGTGACTGATTGTGGGCAATGGCATTGTAAATAAATACCAGTGATGATGAACAACACTGTTATCTGGCTTGAAGGAAGTAAGCAGTGAAGGTCTGCAGGCAGGGGACATGGCTTCACTCATATTTGATAGTAACCTGGAATTATGCACTTACAGAAGAGTCATTACATTGGTAGATGATAGTGAACTGAGAGGAACCACAAAAGCAGCCTTGGGGGACTAGGAGAGGAGGGAATAAGAAAAGGGAATGCGTTCTTTGGAGAGGATGGAAGATAATTTGAAGCATCACTACTCAGCATACAGGAGATGCTAAAAAAGCATACAAATCAAAAGGAGCCATGGGACACATAGCAGGTTGTAAGCTGGTTATGAACTCTCAGTAAAACCATCCTGCTAGATTGGTTTGAAAAGCTAAAAAAAAGAATGAAATCAGATGATATACACTTGCAGCAAATATTGCCTGTGTAAGGAAGAAATCCTTTCCAGGCATTTTACAGGCTTTTCTGGTCACTGACAGGGTTGCCAACTGACTGAAGCTATTCTGGGAGATTTTCCCCCCCAACATGATGTAATGCCATTAATTTCATTTTCTTAAAATATCCTATTAAAATCTCCAGGGTTGCTTTCAATAGTCACCAGGAAATTGGCAGGGAGTCTACAGGAATCAACATCAATCCAGGAGGGTTGGCAATCCTAGTCTCTGACTCTGGGTCTTAACTGGTAAAACTAATGCTGATTTGCTAAAATGTTAGGACCCAGGAAAGCACAAATGAGAAGCAGTAACCAGGGATTTTGAGGGATTTGCAAAAAGATACGATAAAATTTAAACCAAACATTCTAGACTGTTGAGATCTGGGTGTTGAAAAATAAATCAAAGTTCTCCAAAGAAAACAAATGATTTCCCACAAAAAAACCAAGATTCATGGGAAAAAGTTTCAAGAGAAAGACTCTGGCTAATCCTGTCCCCCTCAAGAGAGACATGGTCCCCCCTCCCTCATAGCATGAGAGAAGAACGCAGCTAGAGAACTGCATTCACTTGAGACAACTAAACCTGGAATATGACAAATTTTCAAAAAAAAAAAAAAAAAATGGAGATACAGGAGGCTATTTAGGAAACAGTAACTTAGAAAGGGGCTGTAATAATTATGTTATGACTCACAGGTACAAGATATGAGTAAGATATATAGACAGTCACCTAGTTCACTTCACTGCCCTTACAAGGGTGACACCGTCATGTACGATCTCTAGGTTTTTTGCTCAATTTAACTTTAGATGTCTCACACGAGAGGCCTCCCCCACCTCTCTCAAAACTTCCAGGAACATCTAGGCACTGAAGCAAGCAAAAGGTAGACTCCCTTGAATACACCCCTCAGAAAAGTGTCCTAGAGAAAGGCAGCAAAAACCCCCACTGGGCTGGTTTTTCAGTAATGGTTGCAATGAGGATTAGCAGCTGTGGTGTTTGCCTTGTCAGAAAATGAGCCCAATAAATACTCCCCCCCTCCCCCCGGTTTAATGCTATTTCTCATTTTATATACTTTCATAGGATCAGTTATCCCCTCATTGGCATTTCCATCTTTCAGGAGTTTCCCTCCTCATTCATGTACACTTATGGCTCAGCAAAGCTATCCTCCGGATCTCCGTAGACATCCCTCCAGTTTGCACTGCTCTACTCTGCACTCTTCATTTTGTCCCAGTTTCAGGTACTGAAATGCTGAGAACAGAAAGCACTGCTCCTGGGGTTTTTGTAGCCCAAACACTCCTACCCTCTCACTTTGCTTCATAGCATGGCATCCCTGCACATGCATCCCAACATTGCAGTGACCTTTTTCTGCAGCAGATTTAATTATAGCTTGTTACTAGCTCTTCATCTCTCTTGACATTATTGCTGCTTCTTCCTCCCACCTCACAGCTGGACTCTGATTTATGTTTTTTAAATAAACTCATTCTTAAACTTTCCCCCCACAAACTGAGACCTACTCTTTGCCACCTGTTCCTCACTTCTCTGTCTCCACTTGTGTTTTTCCCCTATTCTCATGAATGCTTGCATCTCCTAGTTTAGTATCACCTGCCTGCTTCTTTAAAATGCTGTAAATATTATGGGGGCAAGGAGCAAAAAACAATCCCTACAAAAAGGGAGCTGCTACTAGAGAAACACCTAGGATTTGAGCTTCCTGAGAGCAAAAAGCCCAGCCCAAGGGGGCTTTGTATAGGCAAAGAAGGCACAGGCTGAAAGAAAATGCCACAAGAGATCAGTTCTGCAACATCCACCCTGGGAAAAGAAGGGCTTTTTCTCTCTCCTCCTTCCCTTTCCCCACTCCCAAACTTTCAAGAGAATCTGACCACAGGCTTAGGTGAAAACTGAACTCCCCTGAGCACAACCTCTTACGGCTACTTGGAGAAAGTAGCTAATGAACCCAGCTGGCCTGATCCTTCTGCAATCCCTGGCCTGAGGACCAGCAGCTGTGGTGTTTGCCCTGCTCAGCAACAAAGATGTAATCCTTTCCTTCCCTCACAGGAGTTATTTTTTGTTTTTTGCTGAAAGGCATATTTAATCATGGTCTGTAATTATGCTGAGTTGTACTGGGGGCAGGGGGAGAATGATATGCAGATGAAAAAGCATCTTTCAGACCCCTCCTGATGTACAGAAACCATATAAATAATTTGTGTTCAGCCCCACAGTGGGCAGCAAAGTTTGATCTGTACTAAAACTGCCACAGAACTGAGATGCTGGAGCAGGCCTCCAGTGCTTTGCAGCAGCTCGTGGGAGTGCTGAAAGCAGTGGTCCACAGACAGGTAGTAGCAGCCCAGGAATGAGAGTGGCTAGGTCAGCTCCCTGGTCCTGTGACATCCCCCAGGCTGCAAACCCCAGCCCCGAACAAGAACTGCCTGGTGCCAAGACAAGACCTGCTTCTCAGGTTTTGGAACGCAAGTCCCACTTCAAGGAGTCATTTGGGGACAGCATGAACCAGCCTGAAATACAGGCCTGTCCTAAAAAATCCAGACGGGTGTGGTTGCTTTAGAAAGGCCTCCTGTTTTAAACTATTGCCCTTAGAATTAGTGTTTAAATTACTACATTTCCAGTGCATCTGGGAGTGGCAGAGAAGCCCTCTAACAGAAGAAAGCAAAACTGTATTGCGTGGTTCCAGCTCCAAACAGACACCGCTCGTGTGAGAGTTGATCAGGGAAGCAGAGAGAGGTTTATCTGCAACTCTCAGGAGAGGCACAGGAAAGGGCTGCAGAAACTACAGAGACTATTAAGTAGCAGAGCAGAGGAAGCTGGATGACTCTGAAGCAGTCACCACGTGATATGCAAACTACAGCATCAGGCAAGAGAATCGAAACTAAAGTCTTGCTCATTTCTCCATGGAGAGGCCTGGGATCAGTTAAGGCTGGGTGTAGAGATTTCTCCTCCTCCTCTAGTGAAGCGTGTAGTGTTGCTCATTGATCTCTCTCTCTCTCTTTCCATCTAGCAGCCAGCCCTTCAGTCTCTTTTTCAGCTGTTTCTCTGAGGCTTCTGGCCTTGACTCCTGAAGCCATGGCAGAGGCATCAGAACTGGGAGCAGCTTCTAGTCTGGAAGAGGAACTCCTGTGTCCCATATGCCTGGATGGCTACAGGAACCCGGTGTCCCTGACCTGTGGTCACAGCTTCTGCAAAGACTGTGTCCAGAAAGCCCTGAGCACTCAGCAATCCCAGGAAGGCTCCTGCCACTGCCCGCTGTGTCAGGCCCAGCTGGAGCCCTCGCTGGAGTTGCAGACAAACTTCCAGCTCCGCAGCATCGTGGGGAAGTTACTGGATGCCCCCAAGAAGAGTACTAGCCAGGAGGAGGAGGCACCGCAGCCTGAGGAAATAGGAGAAGATACTCCTCAGGAAGATGAGACAGTCCTTTGTGATTTCTGCCTGGAGCAATCTCAGCCTGCAGTGAAGACCTGCCTGAACTGTGAAGCTTCTCTGTGCCAAGCCCACCTGAGCAAACACAATGCCAGGGCCACCCAGAGGAGCCATGTCCTGGTGGAGCCCAGCGCCGGCAAGTCCCTGGAAGAGAGGAAGTGCTCGGAGCACAGCAAGCTGGTGGAGTGCTACTGCGTGGATGACCTGGCCTGTATCTGTGTATTGTGTTACATCGCAGGCTCCCACAGGGGCCACAATATCATCACACTGAAGGAGGCTTGGGACAAAGAACTGGTAAGGTGCTTTCGGCCCACCTCAGCAGGCCAAGTTCAGGGAGAGGTTTTTTTTAGGACAAAGAATTTTGGGGCGAATAGATATATGTGATTCATTTTATTGTGGAGTTGGTTCCTGCATCTTGGGGCTTTCGGCGAAGTCCAGGAGGGTGGAGAGGCCTGGGGTTCAGGTGGAGGGAGCGCTCTGTTTTCCCAGGTGAGGGGAGTACCTCCATTTTGAATGCCGGCTGCTGGAGTTTTGAGTGGCTGCAGGGACTGTAGGAGGGATGGTCTCATGTAAGGCTATGACTTGGGAGCTGGGTTCACTACCTGACTTTGCCATCTCAGATATTCAGTGTCAGTGTACACCACAGGCTCTGTATAACAACCCTTTCTATACTACTTTACTGCCAGGGCTTAGCTCCACAACTTATCACGTTCAATCTGCTAAGGTATACCATCAATCACTTTACAGCCTATATTAGCTGTAACCCCAGAACAGCTCAGCAGTTTGCAAATACATCTTCCAGTGTAACATACCACTTTTAAAAAATCTCTATATAATAAAGTTCTGTGTCTCTGAGGTCTTAGACCTTGCATCTTGTTTCTCAGGCAATCTCATATCCATTCTCTGTTCTCACAGTTGGGGAACTCTCCATCTATCTTGTTTTTCTCATTTAAGGGTAAACTGCTACAAAAAAAAATTGCCTGTATTCTCTACTGGCATTTTTCAGGCCCAGCTTATTTTTCATTTATTCTAAATCTTTTGGTTTATTAAAATTTATCATCTGTGGGAAGCTAATTCATTTTCTCTTAAAAGCTCCTTGGGCAGCGTTGTACAGTGTCTGGAATAATGGGGTCCTAACCGATCCAGAGCCCCTAGGAACCAATAAAAACAACAGCATGACGCTATCTGAGGCCTGTGGACTTCTTGACTATTGCAGTTGTACTGCAGTCTCAAAGCTATAGCAAAACCAGTATCTGAACTGCATTCAAAAAAGCTTAAATGGCAGGGGGTAAAAGAAAAATGGGTTCATAAGAGAGACTAAATTGTGTGTGTGTGTCTAGTGACAATCTGAAAATGACTTTGTTAGAGCTGCTAACTACAAAAGCCAAAGGAGAGTAATTTCTCCAAGGGTAAAATTCTTACAGTATTTGCCATTCAGCCAGTCCCAAATCTGTAAAGTTGCATGGTAATAATAGCTCAAGGATTTGAGTTAATGGGTAACATAAAGTCATTACCCCTTTCGCATGGATGTACGTTCTGTTCAGATATCTCATGATGTGTTTATTCCAACTAGGGCGTTCTCCACCAAACTGTGCAAGAGCTGCAAACTAGTGAAAGTGAATTGAATAACAGCTTAGAAAATCTGCTGGAAAATGAAGAAAAAGTCAAGGTATGTCCCTGGGTACAAGATACTACAGGGTTTGTGCCTCTCCAGGAAATAAACAAGCAACACTGTCTCTTTAATATATAGCTGTAGTGAAAGGTGCCAGCCTGACAACTCTCAGGATCAAAGTCCCTTCTCCACAGTGCACATTCAGCATGGGCAAAGGCAGCAAGTAGTAGCTTTCATTACATAGCCTTGCCAATGTCTTGCAATCACAGCCTGGTGAAATTCTCTCTAAATATGAAGGGGGGGGTCTAGCCACTTTCCTTGCCTTCTCTGCTTCCAGCTGAGTAAGAAAGGTGCCATTGCAGCTGGTCTTGTGCTAAAAGTTACCAGCCCACTAGAAGATGAATTGAACCAGGTTAATACATCCAGCCTGGTGAAAATAGTATCACTGTTCAGGCTCTGTTCTTTGGGTGAGTGCTTGTTTAGTTACTGTGTTGAATATTTGAAACTGCAACTGCCAAGAGCTTATTTTGTTCTATTTTCTTAAAGACTGACGAGAAGATGTTCAGGGATCAGCTATTGAAGCTCTTCAAAGAGATCCGTTCTCAGGTGGATCAGAAGGAGGGGGAGATCCTGGAAGCCATCAAATCTAGTACAGAGGAGCAGCTTTCTGAAATTCAGAAGCGGAAACAAGCAACTGAACAGAAGATAGATGAGGCTGGTAAGATTGTTCAGGAGCTGCAGGCTTCGAAAAGACAAAGAGATGCTTTTCTCTTTCTCAAGGTAACTAACAGCTTGTTGTTCTGGCTGAACTGCTAGCATTTGTAGAGTTGGCTTTTTCCCTGCATTACAATAACTCTATTGTTAAAATCTTTTTTTCCCCTTAGACATTTAAAGTGGCTCGAGACAGGTAAGGTCTTAAGCAAATATTACATTGTTGCATTTGTTTTATGCTTTTGAATTATCAATGTGTTAGCAAAAATGCAGGATCACTGTTTTTATCCATTTGCAAATATACAGGTACTAGTTGCTGTCAGGGCTGCCCAGTTTGAATGGAATTTTTATTAGATACAAAGTTAATTGTAATAAGCCAGGAATCACCATACCTAAAATGTTCATTGTACAGACATGTGGCTTCTGAAGCTGCCCCATTTTCAGTATCCTTGGCATCTGCCCTTTTCATCCCTTCCAATAAGCAGTCCTGGATTTACTTAATTCCAGATTTCTTTGTATCTGAACAAGGCGGCTAGGACTTAGGAGTCTTTGTGTTCTCCCCCTTGTTGCACTGTGCATGGCTCCCCTGCCCCTTTGTGCAGGACTGTTCTTGATTATATATCTTGGGAGGTCTTCTGCTTCTCTGGGGAGACTTTTCCAGCATCTAACCAATCTCATGATTAAGAGAGTTTTTTCATGATATCCAACCTGCATGTTTAGCTTAGCTTTATAGAGGTTCCTGTGTAGCAAAGTGAACTGGAAGTAGTACAGTATGGGTGGACTGGGTTGTCATCTCAGTTCCCATCTCAAGGCACACAATGCATGGTTGATTACACATTTTTATAACAAACACCCTTCAGCCAGTTCTCTAATAAGGTCACGTACATATTTTTAAAGACATCTTTGGTTGCTGAAATCCCTTTGTTACTCTGCTGCTGCAGACGTTATGGTGGTTCACCTCCTATGACGGGTGAATGTTGGGAAGGTTTCCTTAAACTGAACAGTAGAAGTTTGTCTTCAGTTGCTGGTCCGGTGCTTTTATGGCATCCACATGTGCCCTGCCACATGTTGCACTGGATTTTGATCTGTTGCTTGTAAGGGTTGGGGGTCGCTAAGGAGACAGTGTGTTCTATGCTTGAAGAACAAGGAGTTTTTCAGGGCAGCAGTTCCTGATATAGTAAATTTGGTGGAGACGTGCTCCCCTTGCTCTTAAGTGATCCTTAATCCCAGGCATAGAGGAAGAATGTCTGGCTTCTGAAGAAAGGAGGACCAACCCATGTTGGCCAAGAAGAAGGTTCGGTGTCCTGGATAAGATTGTGGAGGGAACCAAATGGAAAGCAGGATAAAACTTAGATTTTGATTCTTTTAACATAATCAAGTAAAGAATAAGCTTTATGGATTTCCTGTGAACATGACCTGCATGGCTTATACTGCTATCACTTGACATTTGCTGCGTAAGTGATTCTTCTGAGTGTTCTAGGTTAAGGCAACAAGATTTCAAGGTAGATGACATGAAAATGCCGGCACCCGTTGTACAACTGGATTACTTAACAGTGGAGAATATTCTAGAGAAGTCACAGCAATTCATCTTAGATGTACATAAATGGATACACGTGCCATATAGTAAGTAAATCATTTGATTTGGTGACTGAAAGAGGTAATCAACCATTGGTTTGCTGTCAACAAAATGACATCTTGTTTTGAAAGGACTGCAGTTACATCCAGGAAGAGAGACCTATATGGAATCTGATTTGCTAACTTACATTTGCTAATGTAACCTTTATGTTAGGCACTGAGTATCAGTAACAAATGCTGGGTTCAAATGTAGGGGATTTACACAAACGTTCTATTTTGGCTTAAGCCTACACCCAGAAACTTCAATAACTAGATCTTAAATGGGTAATCCTGAGTGAACAAACTTCTCCACTTGCAAGCAATAGTCAGTTATAACAGGGTTTATTAAGGGGGAAAAGGGGACAAACACACAACATTACAGAAAACCTTATCTGTTACTCTCATTATTAATGTCAAACCAACCCAGGGGAGCTACTACCTAGCCCAGTCTGGGAAGGGAGGATCATCCAGGGCTGCCATCCAGAGGCTCTGCCACATAAGCCAGAGAGTGTGGCAAGTAGTGAGTAACATTAACTGCACTGGAATTCACCACCACTCTGCTGCTGATCCTCACCACTGCCAGGGTTGCCACCACCGGAGATCATTGTTCCTTACTGATATCAAAAGTCAATATTGTTTTACCACTGAGGATCACCATTCATGGCCAGGTTGCTTATGCAACCCCAGCTTTTCTAGACCTTGATCAACAGGCTCAAGATTTTCAGCTCTTCAGTACTAAGGGTGATGGGTTTTTACCTGACTCTTCTATAGAGATTTATGCTCAAGAGCATTTTCCCTTTGAAGACTGATAACCTCAGACACCACCCAATGGATAACTCTCAGCCAGAGCCTCTCCTGCTACTTACACATGTTTCCTGCACTGGGGATCTGAGAGCCACTGCAGACCTCCACATAGCTCAGCAAGCAGTGACCCCTCAGTGACCTTTGCCAACTTTCTTTTTTAACACTTGTGCCTATAAACAATTTGGAAGGGAAGGCCTGTGGACACATGGTTCTGATGCACGTGACCCTTACATTTGCACACTTTATCCACAGACAGTAAAAACAGGTACAAGTAGCCCCCAGATTTCTGCACATGCATACTAATGAGGTGGTGCGGAGAAGTAATTTATAAAGTTATCAGAACATAACCAGGCACAGCTACACTAACATACCCAGTGCTCCAAAAAGGACTGCCTCAGATGTGCTGCAGGCCAAGGATGTCAAAGATATGCTTCTCCTAAACTTGGGGAGTCAAACTCATTTGGCCCTGTGGGCTGGGTCCAGAGCACAGAGCTGTGTCAGCCTGCCCATTGGGCTCCCCACAGATCCACAGCAAATTAAGCAGCAGCTGCATTTTCTATTGCCAAATTCTTGGCCCCATGGGAAGTCCTGAGTACCAGATCCGGAGTGCAGCATCATGTCATCTGGCTTGTAGGGTTGCCCTTGGGGCCAGAAATGCGGCTGCATGGCTCCAGAAACCATGGCAATTAACACTGCTGCCACCAAATTTCCAGCCCTGTGGGCCATATAACATCCAGATCCAGGCCATGGGGCTGGATGAATTTGATACTCCTTTTGTAGGCAAATATATGGATATTAAAATGAACTATTTCAGTATAAAATGAGAAGTGCCTCTACCTTGAAGATTTACATGGGAGGAGATCTCCCATTCTGTTATTTCTCTGCAGGCAGAAAAGGACGACACAAAGTGAAATGTGTAACTTACCCAAACAGTCAAGTTTGGGATACATATCAACCCAAATCAACTGATTTGTTTTGCATAAATTACTAATAATCAGGAACCATGCTTCATGTTCTGTAGGAAGTACTGAGTATTCACACAAGTATCTAAATTTTATTATTTGCTTAGTTCAGGTTTTGTGTTTAGTTTTTATTTTCTGAAGTATTTAAAATGAATTATAATATCAAATTCTGGCCAGTTTTTTGTTTAATATAATTTTAACAAGTTCTAAATACTTTTTAGAGTAAACTCCATGTAAATGCATAGCTTCAGGACTGATAAAAGGCTGTTCACTTGACCCTGAACATGCATTTATTGGAGTCCAGCATTAGCAGTGTCTGTTAACTGTAGCAGCAGGCTGTGCCCAGCATTCCACTCCTCATGGAGGCTGGTTATTCTCTCTCCAAAAATGCCTTATGCCTCTAAACCAGCCTTGAAATTGAGGTGCCTTATCTCTCCTCTTCCAACAGAGCATAATTATGTTGCAAAGTACAGAGTAGGGCTGCAAGATTATATACATTAAATGACTTATGCACTCAAACAATATACAGATAATCAGAGTCCATTACAAAGTAAGCAATAGGTAACAAATTAGGACTAGCTTTGTACATGCTTGTCAGTTAGACACATAAATAGAGTCCACTGCATGGTATTTTCCAAAGCAGGGTATGTACCCCTGAGATGTGCAGAGGATTTGGTGAGGTGAGTATAGAACAGGGGTGGGCAGAATATGGTCCGTGGGCCAGATTGGGCCTGCCAAGGGGTTTTATCTGGCCTGTGGTGGGTCATTTGCCCCTCCACCAACCCAGGTGTGAGGGGACAGCATGACCCATGATCCTTGCAGCCAATCCTACTCTCCCTGGGCACTCGGCAAGGTGGTGGCGCAGTGGCTGGACTTGGCTTCCTAGCAGCCCCTGCAGTGGCAGCTTGCTGTGCCTGGCTGTCCCTGCCATTGCCTCCACTGCCACCTCTGTACCCAGCCCCACTGCCCAGGCAGGCGCACCCCGACCTGTCTGCTGTGCACCCACCACTAGGGGCACTGGATAGAGCAGGCAGGTGAGGTCTGCGTGGACACCAGCTCATGCTCCCTGTGGGCCGGGTCTGCTTGGCTGGGCAGATGCAATGAAGCCACAGGCAGTCAGAAGTAGTGTCTGGGAGTGGGACAGGTGGGTGGGGCTGGGATCATGGGGCAGTGACAGCATGGGGCTGGGACTGGGGCAGAGCCGTGATCTTTTCCCAGCACACCCGTGCAACAGGTGCTGGTTCCACGGGGAGGGGCTGGGCATGGGCATCTGTTGCGGGGACATGCAGGGAGCAGATCACAGCTCTGCCCTGGCCCTGCAGCTCCCTGCACTGCACCTGGTTCACGCCATGGCTGTTTGCATCCTGGCAGCACAGGGCAGCCCCAATAGATTGTGACTGGATTAGGCGGCCCTCCTGTGCTGTCAGGCTGCACCACTCTGCAGCCATGCCATACTGGGGCTGCCCCCATGCACCTCTGCTGGGGTGGGGACAATGGGCCAGGTCATGTGTGTGTGCTCAGCCCCCTTTCTGAGTCAGGCCAGTCATGATCTGTCAGAGTTGCCCTGTGATGCCTGGCCACAAGAAACCATAGCATGAATCAGGTACAGTGTGGGTTGGTGTGAGGCCAGGCCTGGGGCACAGCTGCAATTTGTTCCCTGCATGTCCCTGTGATGGGCGCTGGTTCATCAGAGAGGCAGGGCATGGTTGCTGCCTGCAGAACCAGTGCCTGTCACAGGGATGTGCAGGGAGAGAATCGTGGCTATGCCTCAGCCCCAAACCCAGCCCCACACTGTCACTACTCTGTTAGTCTGGCCCTGAGCCTGGCCCTGCCCACCTGCCCACGGCCCGATCCCATCTGCTAGGCCAGGCATGCCCTGCCTGTGGGGTCAATCTCCACAAAGACCTGGCCCACTCTGTCTGGTGCCTCCAACAGTGGGTATAGGGCAGACGAGCCTGGGACCAGATAGGCTTAATTGCTCCTTCCCTTCCCCCCTTTTCCCACCTGCAACGGCTCACCAAAACTCCCTGAGTAGCCCTCCACCCCAAATAATTGCCCACCCCTGGTGTAGAAGATGCATACGTTAACACAGGTTTTTAACAGCGCACAGTGAAGTTGAAGGGGGTTTCATGTCCCTAAGGAGATTCAATTTTCAAAAGTTGGGACCATGATGCTTTAGCGTAGCCACAGCTGAAGTCACAATAAGTGTCCAATAAGAAATGTTTTTCTTCTTTTCAAGATCACAATCACCTGACCTTTCGAACTGAGGATAACCATCCAAATCTCATGATTTCACATAATTTTCGAACACTCACTTGGAACTACAGAACTACCGGTTATAGCCAAATGGGTTTCGGATCATATTATTCACACAACGACTTGTTCCCAATGGTACTGAGTTTACAGACCTTTTCTGCAGGCAGGCATTTCTGGGAAGTGGACACCTCATCTGGAGTTCGCTGGAGCCTTGGAGTCACTACCTGCTCCTCTCTGAGGAATAAAAATAGCATGTATAACTACTACTTGCAAAAAGAAGGCAACTGGCTCAGTGTATTTGAAAATGGTACAGTGACTATAAAGCAGG